ACTTCAGTCAGCTGAGCAGCTGTGGCTTTTAGTCCCTAAGTCATGGCTGAAACTTAAAGGAGACCGAGCGTTCTCTGTTAAGGCTCCGATGCTTTGGAATAATCTTGCTCTTCAATTTAGACAAGCTACATCAGTGCTAGTTTTCAAGTCCACATTAAAAACCTATTTCTATTCTCTGGCTTTTAACTCTGTGGGTAACTAACATTTTTATTTATTTTATTGCTATGTCTGATTTTTGCTATTTTATTACTATATTTATGTTTGTATTGAACAGCACTTTGGTCTAACAGGTGTATTTTTAAAGTGCTATATAAATAAAAGACGATGATATATTTTAGCTGTTTTTATGACTTTCCATACCCTTTTGCACGGCCCATTTTTCACGTGTTCAAAATTTTTTCCCTGTGTTATTTCTCATGGACAACTGTGGTTTCATTTCTTTGCATGTGTGGATTGGACGGAATGTTACCAATATCTGGTGAGAATTTCATGTCAATAGCAGCTCTGTTGTCATCTGTAGTGTTGTTATTTATTACTTATTTTAGCCACTGTATGTCACGATTAGCTGGCGGACTCAGGCGCAGACCAGAAGTTCCTTCAAATCAAAAGTGAATTTATTTACAGTGTTCTCCACAGTGAAATATATATACACACAACGGTGTCTGGGGAAAAGGGGCTGGGGTTCCAGGGTCCGGGAGTGAAAGGGGCAGGAGTCCAGGGAGGGGAGATTCCCATACAGCTCTCGCAAACACACACAGCTCCTCTTCTTTCCTCTACCACTCTTGCTCACGCTCAGTCACAGTGCATCGCCATCTTAAGTAGGACTCTAATTCTCGTAATCAGCGGCAGGTGTGCTAATCATCCCCAGGCGCGTGGGCCAGGGGCGGGAGCCCATACTGAGCTCCGCCCTGGCAGGAGAAAGAGAGAGTGGGAGAGGACGAGAGAGGAGAATAAACAAAACAAAACATAGCGCCTGACTGCTGTCAGTTGGCGAGGTGCGGGGACCATGACACTGTATTTCTAATAGCAACAACTGATTAGAGAAGGTATAACATGAAAGAAAGAGGACAGCCATTTAACAACCATTACATAAAAAATTAAAATGTGAAATAAATGATTAACAATAATAGACTTCATTCGATTTCATTCAATATTAAAGAAGAACAAAAATGAATGAGTAAATAATCTTAATAAACAGATAGAATTCAAGAGTTTCCTGCAGGTAGATGTTCGTGTTTAGGTGGTGCCACACTCATCTGCACTGGCTGCTTTTGAGGTTTGGTGCGGTATCTTCTGGTCCTGTCAGCACATGGATAAAAAGGAACAGTGAGCTTCAGGTGTTACTGTCATTAATCATGACTACTAATGCAAACTTTCCCTGAGTTGTAAAAAGAAATTATGTGATACTGTTCTGTGGCTTTATAAGAATATACCAACCTCAGGTAGCGAATGTGTCCACATTCACCTGAGACAGAAACAAAGACTCAAAATTATAATGATAGAAAGAAGAGTTGACTGTTAATGTATATACACATAGACGCATAGATACTTACTTATTAAGGATAAGAGTTGAAAGTAAAGGTCCCATGATCAGAATAACTGAAAGAAATAGAAAACAAAAAACATTGAAAGTTAAAAGTGCTAATCTTGATTAAAAATGTTTATCAACAATGGCTTGCATGACACTTCAAAACTGGTGTACTAGCTGGAGGGGTAAATGAAAGAGTTGAAGTTGCTTTACTGGTGTGAGTTGCTGCATTTGCAGTAGTTGCTATACTGGGAAGAGTTGCTCGAGTTGTAGTAGTTTCTCCACTTGTTTGAATTGCTCCAGTTGTAGTAGTTGCTTTATTGGTATTAGTTGCTCCAGTTGTAGGAGCTTCTACACTTGTTTGAATTGCTCCAGTT